TGTTGTATTCCAATGATAACCGAGTTATATGCCAAAAGGTCGAGGATCATAGAATATCTGACCACGAAACAATAATGTTTCGACTAAATGTCAATAAACTAAGTGGTGCTAAGGAGGCAGAAGTAATATCCTGGGAGAGATATAACCCAGAGAACTTAACAAGTTTACTAAGGCAGTGCGATTTCTCGAACTTAAATTTTTTTCGATGCTGACGGTATGGTGGAGTATATTACTCATTGCATTATGTGGGCCATGAGGCAGTTGACTTACTCAAAAATAACTCGCATTAGGCAGAGGAACAAATGGTATGATAGGCAATTGACAGAGATGAACAAGTATAAATCTAAATCCCATGAGAAAGCAGTGTTGTCAGGGTACTGGGGTGAATATAATTTAGTGAGAAGCAGATATAAGAAAATGGTAAGGTGTAAAAAAATTAAATACTTAGAGCATAAGGTGGAAATAAATAAGGGTGACAGCCGACTCATGTGGAAATACTTAAAGGAGGTAGTCAATAACACGGAGGTCAAAGAAAATATTGGGGAAGTGATAATAAATAACACCAACTACGTAGACAGCTTTGAAATTGCGGAAAACCTAAATAATTTTTTCGTGGACAGCATTTTGGAAATACATACCAATATAGAGTGTGTAAACTATGATTTTTTCGAGCAACGAGCTCCCACAAGTACGCTAAAATTTGAAGAGGTCTCAACGGAAGACATTCTTCAAATTGCCAAAAAATTTAAGCGGAAAATTGGGGGAAAAAACCTACTTTCTGAAGGTGTTATTAAGGACTCTGTTGATTATATGGGATATTTCTATGCCCTACTTATAAATAAGAGTCTCCAGACAGGATCAGTACCGGAAGAATGGAAAATTTCATCAATAGTGCCCGTCAAGAAAGTTAGAAAAACGGTTAAAGCTGAGGAGCTTAGGCCCATCAATACTCTCCCTAGCTTGGAAAAAATGCTAGAAACCGTTGTGAAAAACCAGCTACAGTACTATGTGGAATCCAATAAAATACTCATAAAAGAACAATCTGGATTCAGAGCTAAACATTCCTGTGAGACTGCGCTGAATCTGGTGCTTTCTCAATGGAAAGAAGATCTGAACAGACACCTTAATGTAGTGGCAGTGTTTATTGATCTTAAAAGAGCATTTGAAACCGTTGATAGGGTCCGAATGTTGGATAAACTAAAATACATTGGTATAAAAAACACTGAGCTTGACTGGTTTAGAAGCTTTCTGTGTAATCGTAGGCAACAAACAATAGTTAATTCAAAGAGGTCTAGTAAGATAGCCGTAGACATCGGATTACCACAGGGCTCAGTTTTGGCACCCCTACTCTTTAATATATATATAAACGATATTAAAAGTTCTCTCAAACATTGTAAAATAAAACTCTTTGCGGATGATGCCTTGTTAACGATCAGTGATAGGGAACTACCAAATGCGATTGTCAAAATGCAAGAAGATCTTAATTCTTTGTATCAATGGCTGTGTTCAAATAAACTCAAACTGAATGTGAAAAAGACTAACTTTATGGTATTTTCCAGAGCGGCAAATGCTGACTCCATAAGCCGTGAATTAAAAATCAAAGATGAAAATATCGAAGAGGTGAAAATTGTCAAGTACCTAGGAATATACATAGACAACAAACTAAAGTTTGATGAGCACGTTGAGTATACAGTCAAAAAGATTGCTAAAAAAATTGGCCTTATAAAGAGATCGTGTAAGTACTTGGGAAGAAGATATAAAACGTTGGTGTACAGGTCAATAGTAGAACCGCACTTTATATACTGCCCAACGATTTTCTTCCTAGCGGGGGACTCCCATGTAGATAAGCTGCAAAAAATGCAAAACCGAGCGATGAGATTCATCCTCAACAAACCGTATGACACACCAACAAGATGTATGCTTGAAACCTTGAATTGGTTAAGCGTGAAGCAACAAGTTTTTTACCACGCTATGAAATTTGTGTACAATATTAAGAAGGGCAACCTGCCGGATTATCTTAGCGATAATCTCCGATATATAAATGAGACGCATACATATTTGTTGAGAGAGAATAACAGCTTCAGACTCCCGAAGTATAGAACAGAAGTGGACAAAAAAAATATTTTCTATAAAGGCTTAAAGTGCTTCAATGAATTACCAGAGGCTATAAAAAATTGTGATACTATCACTCTTTTCAAGCGGCTGCTATTTGACTATTGTAGAACGCAGCCTACAAGATAGTGATGTATCAACAATAGCGTGGATTGGAAACTAGGCCTTTCCAACCACCAAGATATCGAGACTAGGCGGATCGGAAACTCGGCCTTTCCGACTACCTAGACCCTTAGATAATAAACAATAAACGAGCGGATTGGAAACTAGGCCTTTCCAACCGTTAACCGTCACGAAAGCGCGACTGGGTGGATCGGAAACTCGGCCTTTCTGACCACCCAGGAGATATCAATAAATGGAGTAACCCAAAAAGAATAGCGCGGATTGGAAACTCGGCCTTTCCAACCGTCTACATAACTTCCAGGAAATTGCATGCGTGTATAATGACATAAAATAATTGCAGTGATAAAGAAATAATGTTATTTAAAAATTTCTGTAGAGCATTTTGTATTTTGTATTTAATATTTATATTATATTTTAAATCTAAAATCTAATTATAAGAATGTTAAATCTTTGTTGCAATATAAGTCTAACAGACTGTAAAAAATAAATAAATAAATAAATAAATAAATAATTTTGGATGGAAGTAATGCTTGGTTACATCTCGTATTTTTTAACGTTCGGAAATGTATTATCAAACCAATTTTTCGAATAACTACAAAAAAAAACGATCGAAAATGCGAAAAAAAAATTTTGGGATGACGGACCAAATAGTCATTAAAAGCACCCTGCGAATTTAAAGAAAACTAAAATATACGGCAATCACCCTGTTTATCACTCATCACCCTGTGTTTCCGGTAGTGCATTCCAGTCAAATGTCAAATTTGGTGGTGTGATATGGCAGCCCGTTCTACGTTCTGAGTGTGTTTTTCTTTTAGTACGTCTCGACAATTTGCTTTTAAATAAATATACAAGGAAGTAAAACTAAATATAGTGCTTTTAAATTGTTAATATCGCTAAAAAGCAATAGGATTTTGTGTATAGTGCTTTTGAGAGTGCAGGAAATTTAGTATATCAACTGTGATTTCATTGCTATTGGGTTGCTGAAAAAAATCAACCAAAGTTCTAGCTCTAAAAACACGACGATGTGTTTTATATTGCGTTCGGAAAGGAATTGTGTCGCGTTTTCGGTCGGCTGGCAATTAACTTGATTTCTGAATTATTGGGACCGCTGATAGCGAAATAATTGCCTATATTTTCATGTTGAGTTCTTGCTTTCGCCTCTCGGAATGTGGATTTGTCGCTCGCCGTGACCAGTGTTAAAACAATTTGCGTTAAAGCGTAATTTATGCAAAAAGTATGATAGTGCTCGAACTAAAACAATAGATCTGCTGCTACATAAATACACATAAGCGCTATCAAAAGCGCATCACAAACAAAAACGGCGGAAAGCGCCAACCTTGGCGCAGCAGCTGCCTGCTTGCTGTCTTTTCCATAAAACAAAAGGAAAATATATTTCAAACAAAAACACCTGTATGTTTGCTTGCTCCGTAGTGCACTGCAAAAGAACAGAAAGTACTCAGTAAATTGTTTTCTTTTTCGAGCATTGGGAAGTCTTTAGGATAAGCAACAAAATGCCGAAAATTTATATCAAAAAACCCCTAGGAGGCATAGTGATACGTAATCGGAATGCAATTAAAGATGTAGTCATCACGGTAAGTTGAACTAAATAAGTATATAAATAAGTATTTATGTACAGGCATATGTACATATGTATATATATATAGGGTTTGGTACTCCATGTACTTATTCATGATTACATATTTTCAAAATCAAGTCCGTTCACTTATATACATACATATGTATTCATGCGTAAATATTATGTGAGTACCTGATAAGAATAATTATTGGTGATTCACACTAGTTGAACGACAGCACCTACTCATAAAGCATATAAATGCAAAAACGTATCCACATGTGAATACTTGTCACTATGACCTAACCTCCTGCTTTCCACCCACAGAAATTGTATGAAGTACATACATACATGCATACATACATACATACATATATACTCAAAAGCCCGGCGGTGATGATGTTGCGTCAATTTAGTATTTACATAAACTCGTATGACTCGTATATGAATACCCAGTACCTAAACATTCGCACTCATTTTGGGTTCAGAAAAATCTCAAAATTCTGAGTTGTAACCAAAGCGAATTTGTACCTACATGGTGATATCGACAGCACAGAAATAAACTACACTAACAAATTATTTGCACGATGACAATTAAGTTACAAAAAATGTATAAGCATATCATATTGACAATCAACACAATTCGCCTTGAAATTGGTTGCTCTGGTAGCACCCCAATACCGATAGAACATTCTATATTCGTTTCACCATGGTAGCACCCCTTGTATGAATTCGCCTTTGTTGTAACCCTCAAAAAGAGTCAGAAAAGAGTATATTTCGATGGCTGAGTGGAAGATCGATCTATCTTGGCAGCCAGTTCGAAAACAGCTTATCCTAAAAACTTTTCAAGAATGCCCAATTTCGTTGAAGAACGACCTATTTCAGAATTTTATTGAAGAACGCTCTATTTTAGAATTCGGTGTTCGCCCATCGGTACATATGTATGTATGTATGTATTTGGAAAATATTTTCAGTTGAGATAGGGTGTTCTTCAACCAAATTCTGAGTTTCAATCAAATTCTGTAATAAGACGTTCTTAAACCAAGTTTTCTGAGATAAGGCGTTTTCGAACCGGCTGCCGGGATACGTCGATCTTCCACTCAGCCGTCGATTTCCTTACTTAGAACGGCACTCCAATACGAGTGCAAGTTATGAGTCATATTTGAGTCGTGAAAGCAAATATTT